TCACCTTTGTAATCGGTTTGTTTTAAAACAATTTCTATTCTATACATACGGCATTACCCTAATCAACAATATTTTATTCAAAATCAGCTACCTACGGCATGCACACATAAGAATACGAAAGTTGCCAAATTAAACCGGATCAAGATAAAATTGAGATAAAAGGCCATAGAAGGGCCATCTGTCTTAGCACAATGCCATTCAGCATGTTCAAAAATTACATACATTCCCAAAAAAAAAATTTATTATTATAAAAATTAAAATCTTCAAGTCTAAGAGGCAGGAGGCTCGGTAGACACGGGCTCAGCAGTGTTCAAAGCTTCGGCAATCGGCGCGCTGCTTGCGTTCGGCGCAGGGTGGCTCTCTTCCTCCTCACTACTAGACTCGGTGTCATCGGCTTCTTCAGGCTCGGCATCCTCACCCTTGTAAGCCTCCACCATTTCTTCGGTCACCCCTTCTTGCAGCGGAGGCGGATCCCAGAGGAAGTTCATGTTCAGCTTCTTATTTGCGTTGTACCGCTTGAATCGGTACAACAGGTCATCACACTGCTCCATGACCTCCTTATCTAGCATCAGCGTGAACTCCTCCGTTGACCGGTATTCAGCAACGGCCTTCGCCTTTGCCTCTTCCAGCTCCTTGGCATGCGACCGTTCAGCCACATCCATCGCCACCTCCACCGCTGCCTTGGCCTCATGAGCAGCCACCACATCTAGCTCGGTCGCCGCAAGCCTCGACGTAAGCTCGGCAATCTTAGCAGCATTTTTCTCGGCACGCCGATCAGACTCCTGGAGCATCTTACCGGCATCGGCAATCTTAGAACGGCCTTCCTCGAATTTCTTCTGGTACCGTTCGGCAGCATTTACAGCTCGCTTTACGCAAAGCCACATCTCCATATCAGCCTGCAACACGTCAACAAAAAAAAAATCTATTAAATATCTGCCGAACGCTTAGGCACTTTGACCAAATCGAAGTCTACAAACAAACTGCAGCCTGAAGCCGGAAGGCGCGTCCGGTCTGCTCACGCAACGTCTTCATCGACAGCTGCTCGATTTCAGATAGCTCGATTTGAGCGCCATCGATCATGCTGTTGATGAACGGCACGGCCTTCCGAGGGCAGGCAACATTCACTGGCCCCTCCCCCTCCACTTCATCATCCGGGATCAGAAAGGAGGTCCCCTCGTTCGACCCCCTCAGTTTCTTCGGCAACGGCGTCACATCGAGGGGACCCTCGATCTGCCTTTTGCCCGTCACCTGGAGGTGGACCTCCCGAACAACCTCGGCCACCCTCTTCTCCCGGCGACGATCGGCCACCGGCGACGATCGGCCACCGTCATCTCGTCCGCCGAAGCCCCTCCGGAAGCCTCTACGGCCTTCTTCTTCTTCGGCCTGGGGGACTCCCCTTTCTTCAGCCTTGGCGCCCCTTGCCCCTCCAGACGTCACCTGGTCGCCTCACTCATCGGCCTCCCACCTGCCACTGCATACAAAAAAAATAAGTCAGAAAAGAAACGGTAGTTTTGAAAATAGGCAAGAAAGAAACCTGCCGAACGGCATCTCTTACTCAGTCTTTTTTCTTCTTCCTCTTCTTCCTTTACTCTTCGGTCGTGTTCTGCCTTACCGATCAGGCCTGCCTTGAACAGATTCTGAAAGTAAAGTAGCTCCTTAAAAAATCGATCTTCTTCGGCAATATTCGCTCGCACCCGCTCGATCGCTTCCACTTCTCTGATCGGTGCGGCAGGCCGTTTCAAGGACACTGAAACACAAACTCCCAACGGTCAGGTAAAAAATAAAAAAACAAAAAAAAACTCCTGCCGAACGGTGGGCCTAAACCTACCGACTGTCTGGAAGGTTGTAGGGATCCGTCTCTCTACAATCACCCCCGGTGCCAATTCCCAAGCCCCAGAAACAATTACCCGACGCTTGCGCCAGGTCTTTTGAGAGCTCGGCACCCCAACCACAAAATGCCCACGCTGCCCTGCCGAAAGACAGTTCGACTGAACCCATCCCCCTTGGTCAGCACTCTTCGCTCTCGTCACGCTATACAGTTGGGCAAACTGCTCATAGCTCGGCTCTCCTTCACCCGCTATGCCGAACGCGACGATGGTCCCAAGCAGTGTAATCCAAAAATTTGGATTATATTGCCCCGGGGCATATCCGAGCGCCGCTAGGATCTTCTGCACCGAATGCCTCAACGGCAGCCGAAGCCCATGTTTAAAAACATCGGTGAAGAAGACCACGCCATTGTCATTATCACTCAATGACTCAAATGGCTCCGGAATTCGCATCACTACCGATTCCGGAATATTGTACTCCGCCCGAATCTTAGCCAGCTCAGCCTCGGTCAATGTGTTCGGCTCTAAGTGATCTACTCCGAACACCAGTTCCTTTGGCTTCGCCATCGGGATCCGTTGCCTGCCACTGACTACCCTCAGCACCCCCTCCCCTGGCGCAGCAACGGACACGCCACCCGCATCGGCCTCACGACCCGAAGTCGAAGGCTCACTATCTTGGGGCAATCCACGCGAAGTGCCACCAGCTCCGGTGCGCACTCCTGCCCCCTCCACTATTTCACAGCTTAAAGAGCTAGCAGATTCGGCACTCCCACTCTCTTCGGCAGAACTCCCCGAGGACGAATCGTCCTCGAATGTCCTCGGACTACGACTACGCTCGGATTCGGTATCTGACATCTACAAACAACACACGAAGGGAAACTAAGGGCCATGCTAGAATCAACAGTCCTATTCTACCTCCTAAACACTTATGTTCATACTTGTTCATGCTTGTTCATGCTTGTTCATGCTCGTTCATACTTTGTTCATACAAAATTCAACGATATCAACACTTCGATTCACAAAAAATGAAAAACACGGCAACATACCTTGTTTGCACGGTGGTTCAAGCACGCCGGAAATCGCCTCCGCCTTGTTCAACCTTGCCGGAAATCGCCTGCTCAGCCTTCACACGGTCGCCGGAAATCGCCTCTCACAAGCTCTGATTGCTCTCAAACTCTTCAAGTATTCCAACTATCGTCCCTTCCTTACATTTATAGGACGAACCTAGCATCGGGAAGCGAAGCGACGCATCGGGATATGAAACGACGCGACTCTTCACAGCCACGCCGACACGTGTCACGCATGCATGGGGGAGCCCAAGCGTTGTCATTCGAAACGTTTCCAATCCTCAAAGACGCTTCAACTTCCCGAACGTTGCAGCTCTAGCCACCTTCGAGCACGACTCCATTAGCGAACGGCAGGCGCACATTGATAAGTTCTCACTCACCTCTCGTGCCGAACGGCAGGTGTTCCTAAAACAAGACTTCCACACCTCTCGGAACAATCGGTACATCATGCCGTCTCTTTTTCAAGCTCACTCGCTTGGGCACTTGGGGGACTACATGCCACCATCGGCAACAATGAGACCATCGAGTCCGGATCAAAATGCCGAAGACAGATTCAAGTCCCCAACCGAGAAGCTTCTCAATCGGTAACTTGGGGGACTACTGTTTGTACCATACCTGATCCTCCACTCATCCATTGACACGTGGATCACTTAAACTCCCAAGTGCCCAAGGCTCCGAACAATCAGCATCGGCTACCGATGGTATTGTCTCAAAGCAGCAAAAGGTCGCTACAGGCCCAGCACAGTCTACAATCGGTATTCCCTACCGATTTTGCAGAATCAACCTCGAAGCACCCGCCCGAAATATCTAAAGACTCGTGTCAACCTCATAGGGCCCTCCCACGAGTCCCACATCGAAATTAAGTACTAAGAGCATACAAAATGCTCTCTATAAATAGGCTCATTCACTACAATACAGGGGTAAGACTTTTCAGCTTGACTTTTATACTAATATATTGTCAACAACACTCAATCGATCTCTCGATCGTCCATATCACTTGTAAGTTGCACTCATTTCTATCTATTCAGTTTTGGTGCCAACAACCTCCATGGAAGGGTAAAATTGTCATTGAAAAATTCACTCACAACAAAGCCACGCCTAAGTCTCGGACCCGCCACAAATACGCGTAGTCATCAACTCAAAACTTCCTTCGATCAAATAGAATCAACTACTTCTAAACGAAAGATTAATTGGTATTAAGTCCCTTATTAAATAATGGGCCACGCCAGAATGATGTAGGTTTATCACCTTTTACAATGTGGAGCTTTTTCATGCGCGCTAGGGTTGATTTTTTTTAATTTTTAATTCCATCGGCTGTCTCTAAATACATAATCATGTTGTCTGTGCATCACATGGATTGTACACTCGATCCACTAAACAAACACAAAAACTTAGTACTATAGTTATATTTATAAATCATAAAAAACCAACGCACCCCTTTTCTGCCCCATATAATATAGTTGTAATTAATTGTTTAATTGTTTGTACGACAAGAATAGTCACTCGCTTTCTCGTTCTCTTTGTTTGTTTCACCGGGGAGGCAGCGGCTTTAATGACCACTTGGTATTTTAATTCCGGATTAAGGGACATGCATGTATTCAACTTATTTGGTCAACACTCAACAACCCGTTAATAGCCTGACCTCGTTATCATAATATTTACTAAACTCTCGAGCAAAATGAGACATCATTTTCAAACGGATCGCAATCAAGAAATTTGAATATAATAATATTCTGAATTTAAAAATTTTCTTTTTTGAATCATTAGATCCTTTTTTTAATCATTAAAAAAATGGGTCAAAAATTGGAATTTTTCTTATCCAACTTACACCCCTAGCTCAATCCCATTAGAACGAAGAGAGAATGGAGCTCTAAGAATAAGGGGAATTGAGCTGAAGCCCACTCAAACTTTGTTGGGCTTAGAAGTAGAAGAAGGATCTGTCTCTATTGGAACAGAGGATGGCCCATACTTAGAAGCCTATCTCCCTTAAAAGCTTAAACGTTTGCTTCAACACTACACACGAAATAGATAGATTACTATCTTCCAATAGCAATAGGGATCTTCTGAAAGATTAAAGAGGTGAATCACAACACCAAAATCATTGTGACAGAAGCAGCACCAAATATTTATTAGATGTTCTATTCATATATATTGTACATAAATACTTACATGATAACAGGAAGATAGTCCAATGCAGACCACCTGAAATACTTCATACTTCTTTTTTTCTTCACTTGCTTCTTCCCCACTTTTTTTTTTTTCTTATACACAGCATTGTTGATATAAAACTATATCATCAAGAATCAAATTAAGAATAAGCATCTGTACATTTTACAGGGTTACCAGAAATTATCATCAAATGTTACCCTGGTTGACGGAGATGGATCGTCTTCTTCTTCCATTTCCAACTCTGGTTCCCCTGACCCAAATTCAGTGGATTCTATAACAGCAAGATTCTTCAAATCAACCACAGATAGCTCGTCCAAGCGCCTAACCACCAGGTCTGCAGCTGCAAGCTCGTATACGGGATGCTTGCTAGCAACAGCCACACACTTCATCCGGGCGTCATGGGCGGCCTCAACCGTTTGGTTTGAGTTCCCAAACACAATGCAGCGCTCAGGTATGAATTTTAGAAGTTGTGCCGCATACTCAAACATTTCTGGATCAGGCTTCCCCCTTTGAACATCTTCTGCAGCTACCGTCACATTGAAGTATCCTTCAATACCAATATTTCCAATTGCAGCCTCAAGCGTTTTTCTTGGACGTGTAGAGACCAGTGCCATCGGTATGTTGTAATGCATCAAAAAATTCACAAACTCTCTTGATCCAGCTCGCAATCTATATATCCCACCCTGCAACGCTTGGTAAATGTCTTCCTTTCGAGTAGCCATTCTTCTCATCTGTGCTGGGTCTCTTGACCAGCAGAGAACTTCAGAAATTGCCTGCTCATTCTTCATACCTTCTATCCTTCTAAGCATGAAAGCTGGGGGAGGAGACTTTCCTTCTTCTTGAGAAAGAGCCAGCCAGGCTTGCTTCTCAAGATCAGTATTGTCTTCAATCAGAACTCCTTCCCACTCGAATATGGCAACTAGCCAACCACTACCCATCCGTTCTTGTCGAAGCAAGGGATTGTGTAGCGAAGGGTTATCTGCTTTATTCTCTGGTGGCCACAAACCAGGTTTTCGATCTACACTGGTATCGGTAGGATAATCCCATTTCTTGGGAATCCTATCCTCCTTGAATGAATAGGTCTCTTTCGCTAGCTCCATTGCAAGGGCCTTAATTGATGAATTTTTTGAGTGATCAACTCTCAACTTTGGCAAAGGAGGAGCCATAGTAATCCTTCTACTAAGAATTTCTGCCATCGGGAACCGACATTTATCCGAAGACCTCCTCTTGTTAGAGACATCCTTAATGAAAGCTCCTGTATAGAGCGGCCGGTGCCCAAGAAGAGATGTTGAAGTAATTGATTCAGCCATGCTTGACAAATACCTCAACCAAGCTAAACTTGTATTACTTAAGAATTCTAACTTATGCTAAAAACCCTTTTGAATTTAAGCTGAACTCAACAGTTATAAGCCAAACTTGAGCCAGATAACAATCAATTCCTTTCCAACTGAGGATTTAAAACTACAACTCAACTGTTCTTGTCAGGTCAAATAACCCCATATTTTGTTAAAACTGAGTCCTAATTATTCTTTTACCAAGTCCAGCTATGCTGTCAAAGAACCATAAAAAAACGTTCCCTTGAAGCAAAAACTAAGCATAACCCATTAGACCCATCAACCCAAATCCCCCAAATTAACACCACCCACAGCTTAAAAGCTATTAAAAATCCAACCCCAAAAAGCAAAAAAGCTGAAAACAAAAGGAATTGAAATATACAGAATATACCGAGCAAAGACCAAGTCTTATTAACTCTAGAATTAATCAGATTTCACTCACAAACCAGCCCAACTAGACAGAAACTAAGATATATATATATATATACAATTTACAAAAACAGAGAATTTTGCTATATTACAATAGGAATATAAAATTTATACACCTTATATATAAAGGAAAACCTGGGGAAGGACCAAAGGGTTGGATGAAGAATTGGAGGTCTGAGATATCACAGAGAGAGAGATTGAAATTCCTCAGCAGCGGATTAGATGAATCTCTCCCCTTTTTTGCGTTTGTTGAAGAAGGTGTTTTTCTGTGGCTTATAAATTTTGGAGAGAATGCTCGGAGAGAGAGAGAGAGAGCGGTGATGCCGGCAAAAGTAACCAGCTTAAGGACACGTGTCGGTGATTAGGTTTGATAACCTTAACTCCTTTCGGTGACTGGTAGTTGTTAAAAAAAATTATATATATATTTCACGGTTAAAAAGGCATTCCTTTTCCTTTTTGGACAAAACATTCTGTACTCGCCAGATTTTTGTTTAGCAAGTTTTTGGCAACTAACCGATGATGTGGTAATATTTATTTTATTTAAATTTATGCTATTTCCATGTTTTGGATTGGAGGGCATATTCCTTTTTTTAAAATCCATATATATATTATCTGTTTGTTTTTCTTTGCAATATTCAATCAATGTATCCTTTTACGTTTAGGTTATGAATGATTTTGATTATTCTTGTGATTATAGGATGATTCTTTCAAAATACTAATTATACCCTTATTTACATTCCTTTTGTGGAAGACATAAGGAGTACACAATTACTTTTTGGCAAGAGCAATTTTGACTCTTTTTATTTTTGCTGAAAAACAAAATTATAAAGAAAAGTGACAAGAACAACTCGATCTTAAGCGATCGAAGCTGGAAAGCTTTCTCACACAACTGAGAATACCTATATTAGCAAATAAACGCATGAGTTACAAAATTACCTTCCTTCCATGAGCACATGTCGAAACAAAAAGAAGATTGAAAGAATAAAATGAAATTAGCTCAATCTTCCCATTAGGTAAATATTATGAATAGTTTACTGGAGCCTAGCCTCCTCCTTACCGAAAAAACACTCATAGAGTTGTTTTCACTTTAAGGGGGGAGGAAGCCACTGTTCTTCTTCCCCTCTTCTTTTTCTCTTCCTCCATTTTCAGAGACATAAGGTTTCCCCTATTTGTCTTTGTTTTGTTATGATTTTTCTCCAACCATCACAGGTGGTTATGTCTCGTCGTCGGATCTCCACTTGCGTTTCGGCGTTCGATCTCCACCACCATCTATTTTGCGGTTTCTTTATGTTTGAAATAAATTGCAGAGACTCGTTGGGTTCTCTGTGTAGATTTCCCATCTTCTTTTGTGAGAGCTTTTCACATCTCTTTTGTGAGAGCTTTTCATCTCTTCTTTGTGAGAGTTTTATTTGTATTGTTATGACTAGGATTTTTCATGCTTTATCTCTTTTCGATTATTATGAGTTTGCAATCTTAGTTAGGAAGTCTATGTCAAAGTTTCTTCGATCATGCGTGATTGTTAGTAGAGGTGCACCAGATTGTCCTAATTTTTATGTTAGATCGCTCTGTTATTATAATGACCCTTTTGTGGCTAGTGGCTTTTTTGGTTGAATTATGAATGCAATCTTTCTAGCCACAAAGGGCCATTACGATAATAGAGCGATCTAATGTCAAAATTAAGACTCTTTCACTAACGATCATGCATGATCAAAGAAACTCTGGCACATGCATCTCAACTAAGAGTGCAAACTCAAAACAACCAAAAATATATAAAGCTTGAAAAAACCAAGCCATAACAAAACAAATAAAACTCTAAAAAATGAGATATGGAAAGCTCTCACATAGGAGAGGTCAAAAACTCTCACAAAAGAAGATGTGAAAACTACACAGAAAACCCAAAGAGTCTCTGCGACTTATTCCAAATATGAAGAAACTGCGAAAAAGATAGTGGTAGATATCCGACATCAAAACGCATGTGGAAATCCAACATCAAGACATATTCGCATGTGATGAATGAAGGAAAATAGTTACAAAATGAAGACAAATAGGGAAAATCTTTTATCTCTAAAAATTGAGGAGAAGGGAGACAGAGAGAGGGAGGAAGAGAAGAGGGGAGAAGGGAGGAAGAACGGTGGCTTCCTTCCCCCTCAAAGTGAAAACGAATATATAATGGTTTTTTGAAAGAAACGGGGTAACACTTTTCTTTTGATAATAATTATGAATGCATCCAGTAAACTATTCTTTTTATTTATTTATTTTAAATTTCTTAAAAAAAGAAAGAAAGAATAGTTTACTAGATGCAACATGGCATATGGACGACGACTATCAATCATCTATTGTTTGTCAATGCGTTAATTTTCTAAGGTTGAATATAATTGACAAAGTTGAGTGCATCATTCTTTGCCTATTTTGAACATTATTACATCAAAATATTTTGCAATATTAATAATGTAGCAATCAAATCTCCAACCGAACTCGTCCCAAATTTTGTTGTATATATGCACTATAGTCTATAATTGTTCTATCATTTTTTCTTAATTTATAATTTCTGCACTTTTTCATATCTGCAAGAAACCTGTGAGTCTAGTAGTTAATATTTATCTTTGCATTCGAAGTCCTATATCCGATTCCCTTCCCAAATAATTAAGAGCGTTTATCTTTGTATTCGAAAGTCCGATATTCAATCCCCTTATTTTTGTATCAAAAGAAATTTCATTGTACAATTTGATACACATGTATATTTGTAATCAATTGTAACCATACTTATTATTAAGTCTAGTGGATAAGCTCTCTTTCAAATGGTTAGATGTTGCATTGTCCTATGGTCAATTAGAATCCTAGATTAGCCACCTCATTTTCTATGTAAAATAATGACTTCGCCATCTCCCCGTCACCAATTGAACATGATAAAAAGGTGGCAATTTGTGAATATGCCTTTTTAATTGAGGAGCCGACATGGAAAGAAGGAGAAGAAGGTGGGAGTGCTGGCAAAAACAAGGAGAGGAGGAGCCATCAAGATGAAGCAGTCCATATCTCAAACTCTTGCCTCTGATTAATTAATTTGCAGGTTTGATTCCACACGCATGCGGGGCATACCTTTCTCATTGCTTCCTTTAATATATAATAATATAATATATATTTTATATAAATTCCGAAAGGAACAACTGTAAATTATATGCTCATATGATTTTATGGGTTTGTCATGGTAATTTTTTTTTGGGGGGGTCAATTTTGTCATGGTCATTTAGAAGAGCCATATTTACTGGTTCTCAAAATGACATAACTTGCGCTTGCGGAGAGACTTTTCCCTGAAGAAAACAAAACCACTAGAAAGAAGGTCATGATTTATACTTCAACCAATCATATGCGACAATTATTTCAAAATCACCAAACTCAAAATAGTTTTGAACTCTGAAAACAAAACCACGATACTATTCAACTATGGCTTGCGACGGTGCAAATTATGCATGCACATAAAGGTCAAAACATGGCACCATATATATATATATATATATCAGATCGTTGAAATAAAATTTGTAGTGGACCTCAAAAGGTATCTACTGAATAAAATTATTTGTGACGTTTTTGAATAGAATGAAATTTTATACGTACACATGAAAATATTTATCACACAATAGGATGTAGATCAATCATCAATACAAAACACGGCTGTTGTATAATTGTTCTTAATTATTTGAGTTATAAATTCGTCTGTTTATTTTTCTGATATTTGCACTGAATAGTTTATGTTTTTTTTTCCCTATATGATTGAATAATTCTATTATGATAGGTGGAATAAATATGTGGTCCTACTAGGACCTATGGTGTAGAAAATTGCAAAGAAGAGGGAGCACCAAGGATAAGTACAAAATAGGTGCTGGGCCCCGGATTTTGGAAGCGTGAAGATCCTTCGAAGTGTCTCTGCAAAGCAAAAGCAATACCAGATTCATCTCCCGCTAATCCCAGGTTGGAGAAGAGCCAAGTCAGCCATTTCAACAGGATTCACCTTTGCCACGATAGGTCGGTTCTAATGTGGGCCCCATCTCTTTGGAAAAACTTCTCCAATGAACACTACACAACTCGTCAGTTGTCAACTTGTCATCAACGGTCGATATTTGTACTAACAGTTGATAGTTATTCACGCACGTATTGAAAATTATCGCAAATACAATTAGTAAGTGTTAAATAATGCATTGATAGTTGAAAAGCTACCTAATTGAGTGTAAGGGGTTGTCGGTACTACAACTCAAAAGTGTCAAGAAGCACACCATCATTCACTTTGTTAATCTTAATTTTGAAAGATATTCGTCACCGTTAATATTAAAAAGGTTTATGATCCAACTTGCAAAACAAAATCACGTGAACAATAAGGGAATAGAATGTATCATTGACAAGATGAGATTACATCAAATATTATGACAACTGAGAAGTACAATATCTGTTAATCTTTTTGGTAATCCCTTCAAAAACAAAAAGTAATCTTTTTGGTGTTAATTTTGTGTTTATATTTACAATTACGTTGTTTTGAGATTTAAGAGTTAAGCACTTTTTGTTAAAGATCCACTAATATAGTGGTTTGGAGCAGTTGTTTACCTAAGAAATGTCATTAGTTCAAGTCCTAGCATCTGTGTAGTATGTGTGAGGAAAGGTCATAAAACAAAAAAAAGGGGCTAATGACAAAAGACACCCTGATGGTTTAAGGTCATCCTCAAATTGGGCCCCAGGGTATCAATTTTATCAATTTATACCCTTATGTTTTCAATTTGGTCCAATTTCATCCTTCCGTCAAGTTGACCAGATGGTCAATCGTTAAATGCTGACGTGGCACTCGTGGGACCCACCCCACCTGCGGATTGACCATTCCGCGCATGCCAATTGAAGGGTAGTTTTGGGTTTTGACAATTCCAAAAAAAAAATAAATAATAATAATAATAAAAAATCGTGCCCAAATTGCGCACGCGTTGCAAAGCTGGAGATCGAAGACAAAGCCCCAAAGACATCGTTCGTCCTCAACCTCTGTTTAACCTAAATCCAAAATCTCCATAGCTCAGAGCTCAGATCTACGATTTCGAAGAAGTGAGCCGCCCAAAAGGTTTATTCAAGTGTACTGGCTCCTTAACCCAGAAAACGAAGGAGAAATGGAGCATAAGGCGATGGTGTGTTGCTGTGGTAAGAATGCAAGAATCCTAACGTCGTGGAAAATTTCGAATCCTGGGAGGCGATTCGCTGTGTGTGCAAAGGTAAAAAGCTGGATTTGATGTAAAATATTAGATTTTGAATTGTAGCATGTGCAAATATGAATTTACAGAGTGG